GGTAGTATGGATGGATGGATGGACGGATAAATGGATGGATGGATGGATGGATGGATGGATGGATGGATGGATGGATGGACGGTAGTATGGATGGATGGACGGATGGATGTATGGACGGTAGTATGGATGGATGGATGGATGGATGGATGGATGGATGGATGGATGGATAGATACAATTTTTTATATAAGTTAAAAAAACGTAACAGATTTTTCTAACATGTTTGCAAATGGTGGACGGTCTCTTACCAAACTGCTTGGTGAGGATGAAGATGCTGAAGACGATCAGCAGCGGTAGAGTTTTCATCTTTAACTCTTTTGTCCTGGAAAGAATAATGAGCAGAGATAGACGACAGAGATTAGGACAGATAACATCATCTCCAAGGGTAAACCTCAATTAGCAGAACCAAATCCTCTTCTTCATCAGTTTCTGACTTTGAAACATTAGTTTGCAAATGTTTGTAAAATGAACTGAGCATTATTCAGTACCCAAGCCACAGGCCTAGCACTACACTGGACAACATTGACATTGAGTTGGGCTGCAAAGTGGAGCAGTGGCAGCAGGTTTCTTTCCCAGGGTCTTTCTGCATGTTCTCCCTGTGCATGAGTGGGTTCTCTGGAATGTTCTACAGTCCAAAAACATTAGTGTAAGGTTAATAGAATTCTCTAAAACTGTGACTTTGTGCCTGAATACTTGATTGTCCTGTTTGTCTCTGCAAAGCAGCGATAGAAAAGGCAACTGTAAAAGGCGGCCTTGTCCAGGAAACACACAGCCAGGCGGGAGAGTGCATACCTCCCCCTAACCCTAAACTCAACCTAATTTACACCTTATCCCTCAACCTAAACATGAGAACTTCCATTACTTCCATTGACAGCCTAACCATCAACCATGACTGTAACCCTAACCATTATAGGTATATACCTAATCCTAACCCTAAACTCAACCCACACTTTAGTCCTAAACTTGACCCCTGACCCAAAAACAGCAATTCGCCTTGTTGGGTCCATGCATGGGGCCCCACAAGGAGCAGTCGGTCCCCACAACGAGCCATTTTCCCTGAAAATGTTTCAGAAACAAGAGCTAACACACACACACAAACACACACACAATACTTCCTCTAACCCTCCTCATTAACTCTATATCTGCTGTGGACTATCTCAACTTCCTAAGACTGTTGGAAAATCAGAAAACAAGCTTAGTTTTGAACACTAAACATTGAATGAACAAAATCCTTAAAAACTGACAAGTGCTCAACTCTAAAGAAGAAGCAAATTGCCAAAGCCAAAGAAACAGACCTGGTTTAAAATGATATCATTCTGGGATTAAAGAAAAGGTGAAATAAAACAGTGAAGAACATTATAAAATATTAAGGCAGTGAAAACAGAAATACTCCTCAATGAAATGATGAAGATGAGGAGTCAAACTCACCTAGTGTCTAGAAGAGCCACAGCAGTCTGACAAGCAGTCGAGGAAATCCTGCTATTTAACTACCTGAGGGGCTAAAAGATAAAATTATTTAAATAATACAGTAATAGAAAATGATGTCGTATTAAAATGAGAGAAGCAGATAAGCTGAAGGTCCTTTTGTTTCCAGCAGACTACGGTCCAACTGCTGCAGCAGCTGCCTATTTTCCTAAATAAACATAAGAGAAGGTGAGATTATAACTGTTTTCAGACGCCTTCTACCAGTGACCAGCTACAAATTCCTCATCTTTATAACAGAAATAGAAGTAAAAAAATGTTTTAATAGAACCCAATTATGGACTCTGAAGGAAAAAAAAAGCAGTTTTCTCTACGAGGGAACCAGTAGAAACCAGAGCCTAAAATACGGAAGCAGATTTAAAGATGAAAACTATTGGTCCCACTGAGCTCTCATTACCTTACAAACAGTTTTCCCTCCAACATGATTAGACACCAGCCTCAATGGCGCTCCACCTTTCACCCACCATGGCTCCACTCCCTGGACCTCCACCTTAGAGGACCCGCATGGGCCACATTGACATGCACCTATATGCTAACTACTACAACCTGCATTGTTACAGATATCTAAGGTGGGTTTGGTCATCTGAGCTCTAGAGTTTAAAGCAAACATTTGGATTATCAACCTGAAGAATTGATCGTGTTTTAAACTTTGTTACACAGCAGGAAGGTTCAGAGCAGCAGAACTAATTCAGTTACTCTAAAGTCTGTTAGGTCATAAGGAGTTGCTGGAATACATTTTTTATTCTGGGTTCATGAGGTCATGACCAATGCAAATGGCTATCTGATTACCTAAGTCATGTTAAATTCTGGCAACAGAAATCAGATATTAGGTAAATTCCCAGCTGCTGTCAGCTGCAGACTGTCAGCTTTCTTTAACTGCATTCATGGATGGTTCCTGTAGAGTCAGACCAGTCACAGCTTTAATGGAAAGAATCCAACCCTTCATGGACAAGTTGAAGGGTGTCCGCTGACATGTGATCTGAAATGGTGTCAAGCTCAACAGAAGCCCTTTTAGCAGAGCTAGCCTGCAGTACAGAGAACTATGAGAAGATGGACACAGGTAGCTATAGAAACCACAGAGTGGTTGCTTTGAGGTCAGCTACTGGGATGCACCTCCCAATGTGCGAACCCCATGACCAGTGGAGAGGAGATGAATTTGTTGGAATAAATGTATATAATGTTATCTCATATTTACTAATTTTCTAAAACCTTTTATACTGAATATCTATTTGTTTTTGTTTTTTTATTGCAATGGCCTGAACACTTAGCTTAGGAATAACTTTTGTGTATCTAGATTAAGCCCGGCATTTTTGACCTTTTTGGGATGATTTTCAAGTTGTGCGAGAATTTTTCGATCGGTTTTTATTTTTTTTCGGAGTTTTATAATACTGTCCTTATTTTTACGAGTACAGATCACTCTCTGGATTTAACCCTTCCCCTTGGGGAGCAGTGAGCTGCCATTGTGCAGCGCCCGGGGAGCAGTGTGGGGTTAAGGGTCTTGCTCAGAGACCCAAATTGGCAGTCTGTGGGAGAACTTGAGAACCTCAGGATTCCAGGCACAGTACCCTAACCACTAGGCTGCCACTCCCGAAAGCGATGCATTAGCGTGAAGGGTCTTGCCTAAAGCCGAGCATACACTGTATGATTTTTTTCCCCTTTGCCGATTTTCCAGTCGTGCAAGAACTTTTTCGATCGTGCCGACTTTCAGCCTGATGGTGCATGGTGTAGTGAACAGGGGGTAACGAGGGGCCTCTAACGATCACCTCCCCATCAGGAATCTTAATGTCAGCAGAAAATCAAACATGTTTGAAATTCAGTCGGCCCCCGTAAGGTGGTCGTGGGCAAATCCCTCAGTGGGCAAACAAGGATTCTTCTTCTTCCTCTCAGAGGAAGGGGGGGGGGCGGGTTGATTGAAAGAACAAATGTCTCATCATCGGGATCCGTGATCAGAGGAAATGTTACTTGCCGCAGAACAGTAGTGAAAATTGGAAGTTCAGTTTAATATAATACAACTCTGTGAATAGTTCCGTCTGAAATNAGAATCCAACCCTTCATGGACAAGTTGAAGGGTGTCCGCTGACATGTGATCTGAAATGGTGTCAAGCTCAACAGAAGCCCTTTTAGCAGAGCTAGCCTGCAGTACAGAGAACTATGAGAAGATGGACACAGGTAGCTATAGAAACCACAGAGTGGTTGCTTTGAGGTCAGCTACTGGGATGCACCTCCCAATGTGCGAACCCCATGACCAGTGGAGAGGAGATGAATTTGTTGGAATAAATGTATATAATGTTATCTCATATTTACTAATTTTCTAAAACCTTTTATACTGAATATCTATTTGTTTTTGTTTTTTTATTGCAATGGCCTGAACACTTAGCTTAGGAATAACTTTTGTGTATCTAGATTAAGCCCGGCATTTTTGACCTTTTTGGGATGATTTTCAAGTTGTGCGAGAATTTTTCGATCGGTTTTTATTTTTTTTCGGAGTTTTATAATACTGTCCTTATTTTTACGAGTACAGATCACTCTCTGGATTTAACCCTTCCCCTTGGGGAGCAGTGGGCTGCCATTGTGCGGCGTCCGGGGAGCAGTGTGGGGTTAAGGGACTTGCTCAGAGACCCAAATTGGCAGTCTGTGGGAGAACCTGAGAACCTCAGGATTCCAGGCACAGTGCCCTAACCACTAGGCTGCCACTCCCCAAAGCATGCATTAGTGTGAAGGGTCTTGCCTAAAGTCGGGCATACACTGTATGATTTTTTCCCCCTTTGCCAATTTTCCAGTCGTGCAATAACTTTTTTGATCGGGCCGACTTTCAGCCTGATGGTGCATTGTGTAGTATACAGGTGGTAACGAGGGGCGATCAGCCTCTAACGATCACCTCCCCATCAGGAATCGTAATGTCAGGAGAAAATCAAACATGTTTGATGTTCAGTCGGCTGTCATAAGGTGGTCGTGGGCACCTTCCTCTCAGAGGAAAACACAGAAGCATGGCTGTGATGCAATGAGTGAAATGGAGTTCGTTCTGTAACACTGACACACCGTAGTAGCCACGTTTGCTCAGCCAATCTAATGCTCTTGTCTTTCCTTCTTTGTATGTTGGTAAAGGTTTCAGGTGCTTGAGCCTGACTGAATGCAATGATTAAGTGGGCAACTATTAGAAATAGTTTATTTATACCTTTACTTTGTTTGTGTTTCATGGGTTGTGTTCTAATGAACTATTATGATGTTGTTAAATGAGGAAGTTATGTTCCCTAAAAAAGGCCGTTGCACCTCGGGGGCTTCCTCAGGGTTCTTTTCCTGGGAGCAAGTTATTTACTACTCTTAACTCAAACTGGGTAAAACCATGAAAAAATGACTTTAAAAACAGGAGTAAGAAGTAACAGAGTTTATTCCAGATCAGGTCGTTACAGGACAGAGAAAATGCTTGGAGCTTGCACAGCTGTGGGCTCAAAAATCACGTCCCAAGATTGAGCCCCAAACATGGTCATCTCCTGCTTCTTATAGCTCATGAGACTATGTGTTGCATCAAGTGGATGTTTAGCTGTCCGTATCAGAAACTGACACGCCATCCATGTCTTGAACTTCATGCAGCTTGTCTCTATGCACTTTTTTTTTTAAATCAAGTCTTTTCACTTCATTTATAATGAATTTAATGAATTATAATAATATAAATTAATTTAGGTTCATTTGAAATTATGTCACAAACAAAAATAATGTCATCCTGCTAAAAATATGTATTCTAATAAATACAAGAAGAGACAACAGGCACGTATCCTTGGAGGATTTGCTTTATTTGCTCAGTCAGCCCCACATCATTTCATTAAGTTATT